TTTTTTTTTTAAAAGTATAGCAGATTTAAAATAGTCAACAATTCTTTATTACTTTGCCTACCAAGATATGAAGTCTATTTTCCACTCCCTTGAATTTGGCCTAAGCTTCTGGCTACTTTCACCAACAGAATATGGCAAAAGTGAAACCATGGCAATTCTCATCCTAGCCTTCTTTTTTTTTCCTTTAATTTTTGCCATAGGCTACATGAGCTCACCAGAGAAAGGGAAAGTGAATAGCCATGCCACAATCCCTTACCTCCTCTCAGGATTTCGGACATACATGCACATGCACTTGGCATGTTTTTCACACTGCCAGGTTCAGGACTCAAACAGGGGAGGTCAGCCATGTAGGATTCAGCACCTTAACCATCACACTACCTACTGGCCCTCACCCTAGTCTTTTGTTTGTTTGTTTGTTTTTTATTTTTTCAAATAATTAATTTTATTTATTATCATTGTTTTTAAATTTGCTATAGAGCATGTGTGCTCACCAGAGAGAGGCAGAAAGAGAAAAATGAGAAAGCAAGCCACCAGGTCCAGGACTCAAACCACAGTTAGCCATGTGGGAGTCCAGTGCCCCAACCATCATGCCATCTGTTGGCCCCCATCCTAGCCTTTTTTTTTTTTTTTTGGAGAGGTTTTCGCTATAGGGCACGTGCACTCACCAGAGAGACAGAGAGAGACATAGAGACAGAAAGCGAGAAATCACCCCCCAGGGGGGATGGTCACACCGCAATCCCTTCTCCTCCATTCTCCTCTCAGGATCTTGGGCACGCACGCACGCACACGCACCCAGCGTGAGTTTTAAGCCACCGGGTCCGGGACGCGAACCACGGTCGACTACGTGGGAGTCCAGCAACATAGCCATTACACTAACTGTTGGTTCCCAGTCCATCCTAGCCTTTTTAAAAGCACTGGAAGATTTTACTTCCTCCTTCATGGAGTCACCATGCTGCAAGGAAGCAGTCTCATTGGACAACCCATAAGGAAAAACAAAGCCATTGGCTAACAGTTCCTATTGAATTCCCAGAAAGTGCCAGTATTAACAATCCGGTCACATGAATGAAACAAGTTGATGCTACATCAATTTGACACCATGTCTAAATTACAAAACTGCAATCATATAAATGATATATTTTCAGCCACTAAGTTCTAGTATAGAAAACCAAACCACCACAATATTGGGAATGGTGAGAAGAAGTGGGGAAGTGAAACAGGAGACAAAGAAGTGAGGATGGGAAGGGAATACATGACACCAAATGTCCACCTTCCACAGAGAGAACTTAATATATAATACACAAAATTTGTAAGTTCTAAAGTCCACAAAATAAACAAGTTTCTGTTTGTTTGTTTATATTTAAGTAGAGATAAGTACCAGAAGATATAGCTGGAAGAACAAAGAGTCTGCCTTGGCAGAGCAGAGACAGAATGAAACAGAGTACTTAACCTTTGATTATGAGCAAACTGTCCTCAGTGTACATGTTCTAGCTTGATAAATGGAAATACAAGGGATCCTCAAAGAGTTCATAGAAAATATACAGTATAAAAACACTGGGGGCGGGGGGAACAGCAGGTGTCATGGTCATTAAGGCACTGGGCTCCCACATGGCCGACCATGGTTTGATTCCTGGACCTGGTGGTTTGAAAATCCTACCAGGCACGTGTGTATACGTGCCCAAAATCCCTGGAAGAGAATGGAGGAGAAAGAATTGCAGCATGGCCATCTTCTGGAGTTTGATTTCTCACTTTCCCCATCTGTCTGTCTGTCTCTCTCTCTCTCTCTCCAGCAAGCACTATGCTCTATGGCCAAAAAAAAAAAAAAACTTAAAAAAAAAAAAATACAGAACAGCAAGTGGCACAGTGGTTAAGGTGCTGGATCCAACATGGCCAACTTTGTGCATCAACTCCTAGACTAGGTGGCCTGATAATCACATGGGGCATGTGTGCACCCACATACAAAGTCCTGAGAGGAGAATATAGAAGGGACTGTGGCATGGCCATCCCCCCCGGGGGATGATTTCTCACTTCTCCTTTGTCTCTCTCTGATGAGTGCATAAGCCCCATGGCAAAAAATCTAGGGACCAGCAGACAGCATAATGGTTACATCACTGGACTCTCACATAATCGGCTGCTGTTTGAGCCTCAAACCCAGCAGCTTAAAACTCACACAGGGCACATGTGTAAGCATGTCCAAAATCCCAAGAGCAGAATGGAGGAGAAAAGATTGCCGCGTGACCATCCCTCCTCAGGGGGTGATTTCTCACGTTCGGTCTCTCTGTTTGTCCCTGGAAAGTGCATGAATCCTGTAGCAAAAATTCCTCTAATAAAAAATCTAAAAAATAAAACTGTCCTTAGATTTGAGTTTTTTGTTTGTTTGTTTGGTTTTTGCAATAGGGCAGAGACTGTGAGAGGGAAAGTGAGAAATCACCGGCGGGAGGGGGGAAGAGGGAGGAAAAGATGGCCATGCTGCAGTCTCTTCTCCATCCTCCTCTTGGAATTTTCAGAATGGACACAAACGTGCTCAGAGTGATTTTCAAGCCACCAGGTCCAGGACTGAACCACGTCAACCATGTGGGAGTCCAGTTACTTAACCACCATGCCACCTGCTGGCCCCCAATGCATAGATTTTGAAAAAACTTTTCACAGGGTCAGCAGGTGGTTAAGGGTGTTGCATTCACACATGGCAAACTGCAGTTTGAATCCCAGACCTGGTGGCTTGCTTTCTCACTTTCTCTCTTTCTCTGGTCAAATTAAAAAATGTTAATAAATACAGTTGAATAAAATAATTAAAAGAAAAACTTTTTGTGCCAAAATAAACTTTTACTTAAATTCTATTTTTCTTCCCCCCCCCTTTTGTCATAGGGCATGAACACTCACCAGAGACAAACAGAAACAGGGACAGACAGAAAGTGAGAAAGTATCTCCTAGGGATGTGGCCATGCTGCAATCCCTTCTCCTTCATTTTCCTCTTGAGAGTTGGAGCGTGCACACAGGCACACCCAGCACATCTTTCAAGCTACCAGATCTGGGATCCAAATTGCACAGTCGGCCATGTGGGATCCAGCCTAATACACCATGCCACTGGCTAGCCCCTTTAATTCTATTTTTCTACAAACTTTTTTAAGTCCTTTTGTATACCTAAACATTTCAGTTGGTGAGAGTATACTTATAAGTATCCTTCTACTTTTCTGTATTTTACCAATTTTTCATAAAATGTATATATATATATTTTTTTGGGGGGGGAGGTTTTTGCCATAGGCTGCGTGCATTCACCAGAAAGAGAGAGACAGAGAGACAGAAACCGAGAAATCACCCCCCAGGGGGGATGGCCATGCCGCAATCCCTTCTCCTCCATTCTCCTCTCGGGATCCTGGGCACGCACGCACACGTGCCCAGCGTGAGTTTAAGCCACCGGGTCCAGGACTCGAACCGCAGTTGACTACATGGCAGTCCAGCAACATAGCCATTACACTAACTGCTGGTCCCATAAAATATATCTTATGATTACAAAACTATTACTTTTTAGAGGTTTTTGTTGTTGTTTTTGGGGGGGGTTTTTGCCTTAGGGCACTGTGTGCTCTCCCGGGCAAGAGAGAGAGACACAGATACAATAAGAGGGGGAAAAGTGAGAAATTACCCCTCAGGGGATATGGCCACACTACAATCCCTTCTCCTCCATTCTCCTCCCGGAATCTTGGGCACATATGCACACACACCTGGCATGATTTTAAAGACTCCAACTCTAGGATGTGAACCTGTCAGCCACTTGGGAGAGTCCAGCGATGTAACCATGTAACAACCACTAAGCCATCTGCTGGTCCCTATGATTACAAAGTTATTAAAAATAATAATTAAGCTTTTTATTTTGCAATAATGTATCAAGAAATTGCACATACCTGAAAATAAGACATAGAACTTCCAACTAGGTTTATGCTACAACATTCCCGTGAGGGAAACTCACATTTAGAAAGAGGAGAGTGTTGTGAAAGAGCAAGGATCAGGGCAGCTCTGAGGAACCAGCTCCAAGATCTCTGGGTGACAGTAGGGAGTAGAAACAGTCGGTAGATACCAAGAGAAGCAATAACAGCTCCTATGAAACAAGGACGACCCACAAAGAAGGTACAGTTAAGAGCAGGGGACAGCTTGAGGAACCAGCAGCTCCCTCAAATTCCCAGTGTATGCCTTCACACTCTGGCATTATGCTCAGTCCCAAGAGGCCACCTAGGACTCCACCAAAGGCAGAACAAGGGGGCTAGCCAGTGGTGTGGTAGTCTCTACCAAACTAACACTCCAGCTCCCTTCTGCTCTCTGCTACAGCATCAATGACAAGGAAATCTTTCCTGGCACTGTCACAAATAACTTCCCTCCTAAATGTGCAGAGATCTTTTCTTTCATGATTTGTTTTTTGTTATGGGAAATTATGGATATATATACGGGTGGAGAGAAGGCCAGTTCTATGGCCTAGTGGTTAAGAGAGCTAGGTCACACAGGGCCAACCACATGGATTGAATCCTGGCCCTAGTGGCATGAATATGCTGGCACACGTGCCCAAAGTCCTGACAGGATGAGGAAATGGAGAAGGGATTGCAATGCGACCACACCTTATCAGGGGATACTTTCTCCCTCTCCCTCTGTCTCTCTCTGGCAAGTTCACATATCCTCTGGCAATTAAAAAAAAATTAATCCCTTGGAGCCACATGGTGGTACATTCATAAAATGTGATGCATTATGAGATTGACCCACATGGGGAAGGTTCTAGATTCACTTCCAGAGATCACTCCGAGCACATCCATCTGGGGCTAGACGAAGTTGGAATGGACTGAAACATCAGGACCCTATAGGAGGTGTTCTCTCTCTCTCTCTCACTCATGAAAAAAATAAGCTTAAAAATAACAGGCTGGTCTGGTTAAGGGAGCTGAAACCCTTATGGTCAAAACACAGTTCAGGTACTTGCCCCAGTGGCTTGAAAAAACACACTGAATATGCGTGGGTGCATGCCCAAAATCTTGACAGAGTAAAGAAAAGGAAATGGGATTGCAGCATGACCACACCTCATTCAGGGTGCTTTTTCCTCTCCTCCTCTCTGGAGGGTACACACGCCTTCTGGCAATTAAATAATAACAAATGTAGTCAATATTACAAACTCTAGTTGTCTCAAATATCATGAGGTCATGTCTCTAACTAACTAGACGCAAATAAGCCCCACATATTACAATTCGTTAATGTGCCTCCAATTTTTGTTATCCACAGCATCCCTTCTTGCTTTCCTTGAAGAGAATAGCTTATTGGTCTTATAGTTTCCCATGTTCTGAGTTTGCCAATGGCAACCCTGTGGTGCAGTTTAGCACATTCCTTTCCCCCTGTATTTCCTGTAAATTGATTGCTCAACACAGACACTTGGTCAGATGAAGGCTTGCTGTTTTTTGGCAAGACTATTTTACAGGTTTTTGAAAAATAAGATCTTTTGTCCACTGTCTCTCCCCTGTTTCACTCCCTGAGAGATCTATAAACTCCATGAGCTCAAAGACATGAGACTTGGTTTATCACTGGCTCTGCACTCATACTTATTTGCTGAGTGAATGAAAAAATGATGGGCTGAAGTATACTGTTATACTGACTGAAAATACAATGATCCACCCTTCCACCCATGTGTAGAAAATTGTATGTTAGGGCCAGCAGGTAATATGGTGGTTTATGGTGCTGGTCTTCCACATGGCTGGCCACAGTTCAAGTCCCAGACCTGGTGGTTTGAACATCACCAGGCACATGTGCACATTTTATGTGCTTAAAATCCCATGAGGAAAATGGAACAGAAGACACTGCAGTATGGCCATCCTCCCTGGGGAGCAATTTTTCACTTTCTCTCTCACTGCCTCTTCATGTTTCTCTCCAGTGAGTGCATATCTCCTATGGAGATATGGGAAAAACTTTTTTTTAAAAAAAGGAGGGGAAGGAAACAGCAGATGGCATATGTTGGTTACGTTGCTGGACTCCCACATAGTCGACCGTGGTTTAAGTTCCAGACCCAGCAGCTTAAAACTCACGCCAGGCACAAGTGCATGTATGCCAAAAGTCTTGAGTGGAGACTGGAGGAGAAGGGATTGTGGTGTAGCTATCCCTCCACAGGGTGATTTCTCACTTTCCATCTGTCTCTCTGGTGAGTGCACATACCCTACAGCAAGTCTCTCTACAAAAAAAGAGGGACCAGAAGTTAGTGTAATGGCTATGTCGCTGGACTCCCACGTAGTCAACCGCGGTTCGCGTCCCAGACCCCGTGGCTTAAACTCACGCCGGGCGTGTGTGCGTGCATGCTCAAGATCCCAAGAGGAGAATGGAGGAGAAGGGATTGCAGCGTGGCCATCACCCCTGGGGGGTGATTTCTCACTTTCTATCTCTATGTCTCTCTCTGTCTTTCTGGGGAGCGCACGCACCCTTATAGCAAAAAATAAAACAAAACTCTCAAAAAAAATTAAAAATAAGAAAAAAGTTATAGCCAGAGGTGGCATGGTAGTTAAGGTACCGGACTCCCAAATGATCTTCTGTGGTTCAAGTCCCAGGCCCAGCAGCTTAAGAAATCATGCTGGGTGTGTTTGTGTTCATGCCCTAAGTCTCAGGAAGAAAGTGGAGAAGAGGGGATTGTGACGAAGCCATCCCCCAAGGGAAGTAATTTCTCTTTCCTTCTTTTAAAAATAAAAAGTTTTAAAAATTCCCTGATGGGCCGGCCAGCAGGTGGCGTGGTGGTTAAGGTGCTAGACACTCCCACATGACCAACCATGGTTTGAGTCTCAGACCTGGTGGTTTGCTTTCTCACTTTCCTTCTCTCTGTGTATCTGTCTTTCTTTGGTCAAATTAAAATGATTAAATGAATAAATAAAATTAAAGGGACCAACAGTTAGCATAATGGCTATGTCACTAGACTCCCATGTAGTCAACCGTGATTAGAGTCCTGGAACCAGTGGCTTCAACTCACGCCAGGCATGTGTGAGTGCATGCCCAGGATCCCAAGAGGAGAATGGAGGAGAAGGGATTGCGGTATGGCCATCCTTCTGAGGGGTGATTTCTCACTTTCTGCTGCTCTTTGTCTTTCTGGCGAACGCATGTGCCCTACAGCAAAAACCTCTCAAAAAAAAAAAAAATTAAATAATTCTTCAAAAAAAATTTCCTGAAAGAACTGTAAGTATCCAGAGTATAAGAGGTCAAACCTCACAGTTCTAATTCCATAGCCTTGTAACTTTTAGCCAGTTACCCTTTTTTTTAAGAGGGATTTTATTTTATTTATTTATTTTTTTTTTGCTATGTGTCACATGTGCTCACTGGAGAGACAGAAAGACATAAAGTGAGAAATCACCACCACCCCCAAACGAGATGGCCATACTAGAATCTTTTCTCCATTCTCCTCTAGGTATTTTGGGCACACACAGGCACCTGGTGTGAGTTTTAAGTTGCCAGATCTGGGACTCGAACCGTGGTCTACTATGTGGAAGTCCAGCAATGTAACCATTACACCAACTACTGGTCCCCCAGTTACCCATCTTCAAGACTCAATTTCTTACTGTAAGGATTTAGTGAGATGATATACAGACAACTCACTGCTCAAAGTTGTACACAGAAAAGCTGTACACAGATGGCAACTGCTTCAAATCTTTTGGGGAGAAGCAATATAGAAGCCTCGTAGTCCTAACATATTTTAATAAAACATCTAAGAATTCACACTTTATTTTATCGCCAGAGGTCATGTGTGCTCATCAGAGAGAACAAAAACACACAAACACACATCCAATGGGGCATGGTCATGCTACAATCCCTTCTCCTCCACCTCTGCATCCCTGGGCACACACATGCACCCAGCATGCCCTCAAGCCTCTGGGACCAGTATTCAAACCTTAGTTGGTCATATGTCCTTGCTTAACAGGGTCAGGCTGGAATTAACACTGTTTTTTAAAGAATTATTTTATTTATTTTTTTTTTAATTTGCTATAGGGTATGTGCACTCACAAGAGAGAAAGTAAGAAAGTAAGCCACCAGATTAGACACTCAAACATGGTCAGCCATGCGGGAATTCAATATCTTAACTACCGCACCACCTGATGGCCCCAGAATTCACATTTTTATGAAATAAAAATCTTTATGAAAACAGAATACCCAAAGCCTATCTTCACTTGTTAAATGAGTGCCTTCCACACACATGGGCACTAAGGACAAGTCAGAGGACCTTCACTTTGAAAAATTCACAACCTGTAGAAGAGGACAGGGCAAGAGCTTGTGCAAGATGAACTGACTGAAGGCAGTAAAATTGGAGTCAGAGGGCCAGTTAATAAGAGTAGAGGTTAAGGTGGCTGGATCCCACGTGGACAACTGTATGGTTCAAATCCCAGATCCAGCAGCTTGAAAAACAAACTGGGCACATATCCATGCATGCCCAAAATCTCTAGAGGAAAATGAAGATGGGATTGCAGTGTGGTCATCTCCCCTAGGGGTGCTTTTTCACTGCCACCTCCTACCCCATCTCTGTCGACTCGTATACAAGCATACAAGTGCTATAGCAAAATTTTTTTTTAAAAAAAAAAGAGCTTCTAACCCAGTTGGATATTGATGCTCAGCAGGCTCAAGTCATGTAAGAGACCCAATTTGATTTCCAGCCCACCCTCAAAAAAAAAAAAATCTGGGCAGAGGCATGTATCTATAGTCTCAGCTATAATAAAGAGGTTGAGGCAGAAGGACTGAACATAGCAAGATCTTATCTAAAATAACACCATGTGTGCACGCACAAACACAAAATTGAGTTTCCAACTCTTTCAACAAAGACAACAGTTTTCTACACACTTATTAGGGTGGTCTCACTACTAGGGTTTTTAAGCTATAGCCCATCTTTCAGCTCAACAAACACTTCGCAATTTCTATCCTTGTATACTTTGTTGAAACCATTAATATTACAGAAATTAAGATGCTTTGAAAATTCATCCACGGCCATTTGTTTTTCAGAAGGCAGATTCAAGAACAAACTAATTTGGGACCAGCAGTTAGCATAATGGCTATGTTGCTGAACTCCCATGTAGCCGACCACAGTTAGAGTCCTGGACCAAGTGGCTTAAACTCAGGAGAGCGCATGCCCGTGCGTGCCCAAGATCCTGAGAGGAGAATGGAGAAAAAGGGATTGCGGCGTGGCCATCCCCCCTGGGGGTGATTTCTCGCTTTCTATCTCTGTCTCTGTCTTTCTAGTGAGCACATGTGCCCTATAGCAAAAAAAAATTATCAGGGACCAGCAGTTGGCATAATGGCTATGTCACTGGACTCACATGTAGTCAACCGCTACTTTCCATTTATCATTTAGTTAGCTATGCTATGCAAAGGAAATCGCCCTATTTGGCAGTCTTGGCTCAATTAAAGTAGAGTGACTAGCCCTTTCCATACTCAGCTTCTTCCCTAGAGGGTCCCTTTTCTGCTCCCAATTCCTGACTCACAAAAAAGAGGCAAATAGGCCAGGTGTTGGCATTAAAATAGTGTGTTAGTTTCCCCTAAACCATATATCCACTATTCAGTCTTTACTGAGTGCCTGCCATGAGAAGGTACCAAAAGAGCTGAGGCCATGACAGAGTCCTACTACTAAGAGCTCATCCACAGGAAAAAAGGTCACATGTGGCTGTTAAAGGGCTGTATACTATGCTCAGAAAGAGAATAAATGGTGATCCACACCCAACAAGGCCTCACAGAGGTCTGGAATCTGGAAAGGGTACCATATATTTTGCTCTCCTGTATTTGATAACAAGAATACGTTCACCACAGTCAGGCAAAAGAATTTCAGGAGACCAAGCTATGCCCATGAGCAATCCACAAAAAGAACCAAAACCTCTATATCAGAATATTTGAGCATAAAGCTTTACGTCTTCAATTCCTATTGATTAATTAAAGCTGTTATTGGGTCGCCAGGAAAGTCATGATGCATTTTTGCACAGAAAAACACATCATGACTTTCCAGATGACTTAATACTTTAGAAACACTGGGGACCAGCAAATGGCATAATGGTTATGCTGCAGGACTCCCATGCAGTCCACCATGGTTCAAGTCCTGGACCCGGAGGCTTAAAACTCACACCAGGCACATGTATGTGCGTACCCAAAATACCAAGAAGAGAAGGAACTGCAGCATGGCCATCCCCCCGGGGGGTGATTTCTCGCTTTCCATCTCTCTCTGGCAAAGCGCAGGCTCCCTGTACCAAAAAATGTCTAAAGAAGGAAAAGAAAGGTTATTTGCCCGGAATAAAAAGGACAGAGCAGAGAGGCTGGCAGGTGGCATGGTGGTTAAGGGTGCTGGACTCCCACATGGTTGACTGTGGTTCGAGTCCTGGCCCTGGTAGCTTGTTTTCTCCCTTTCCCCCCCCCCTCTCTTTCACTGTGTCCCTCTTTGGTCAAATTAAAATAAATAAAGTTAAATAATTTTTTAAAAAATGAAAGAGCAGGGACCAACAGTTGGCGTAATGGCTATGTCACTGGACTCCTAGGTAGCTGACCGTGGTTCAAGTCCTGGATCCAGTGGCTTAAAGTCATGCTGGGCACGTGTGTGTGCATGCCCAAGATCCTAAGAGGATAATGGAGGAGAAGGGATTGCAGTGTGGCCATCCCTCCTGGGGGGTGATTTCTCGCTTTCTGTCTCTTTCTGGCAAGCTCACGTGCCTATTACAAAACCTCTCAATAAAAAGAAATAAAGGACAGAGCAAAATAAATTTGGATTGTACACATCAGCAGTTTAGCACATCCATAATTTGTTTGTTCACAAATACCTACAATTGGAGGGACCAGCAATAAGCGTAATGGCTATGGCTATATCACTGGACTCCCATGTAGTTGACTACAGTTCAAGTCCCAGACCGAGTGGCTTAAACTCATGCCAGGCGCATTGCGTGCCAGGCCCAAAACCTGAGAGGAGAATGGAGGAGAAGGGATTGCGGCATGGCCATCCTCCCCGGGGGGTGATTTCTCACTTTCTGTCTCTGGTCTCTCTCTTTCTGGCGAGCGCACATACCCTAAAGCAAAAACTTCTCTCAAAAAAAAAAAAAATTACATTAAATTAAAAAAACTTACAATTCACATGACACATTTTTTTTAAGAGAGGGATTTTTGCTATAGGGGATGTGCACTGGTCAGAGAGACAGAAAGTGAAAAATAAAATCACCCCACCCCACCCCACCCCCGCTGGTAGGGGGTATAGCCATGCTGCAATCCCTTCTCCATTCTCCTCTGGGATTTTGGGCACGCACCAGTATGAGTTTTAAGTCACCAGGTCTGGGACTTGAACAACAGTTAACTAAATGGGAGTCCAGCAACGTAACTATTATGCCATCTGCTGATCCCTATACCACATATTTTATAACACTATTTTCTATCCTTTTACCTGTACTTCTTAGTTAAGTCTAATTCCACCTACTATTTTTTTTTAAGACAGGATTTCATTATAATCCTGCCTCAGTCTCCTGAAGTCACTGGTATCAGAGGCACATGCTACTATCTTTAGATTGGACCAGTAATCAAATCTGGGCGGAGGACAGAATCTTAGCAGCACACACCAATGCAGCTGGGCTTTCACCTACTTTTACATGTTTTACACTGTAAAAAAGGAAGAAACTAATGAGCTCACATTCTACCATGCGAGTAAGCCTTCTAAAGTTTGACCACTTACAGAAGTGGAAAGACAGACCCACCACTCTTCCTCAAGGTCTAATTCCTGATTTCCTCTGCAATTCCGACTTACTTTTCATTTGATTCCTAACTTTTCAGCAGGCCCTGTATAAATTGATTACATAAAAACAATAAACAGGTGGGGGCCAACAGGTGGCGTAGTAGTTAAGGCACTAGATCCCAATTGACTAACTCTGTGGTTGGAGTCCTGGACCTAGTGGCTTGAAAAACACCCTGGGCAAGTGTTTCAGCATGGCCAAAATCCTGAGAGGAAAATGGAAAAGGGATTGCTGCGTGGCCATCACCCAAGGAGTGATTTATCACTTTTCCTCTATGGCTCTCCAGTGAGCACACAGGCCTATAGCAAAAAAATCTAAAAATAAACAAACCTAGTAGCCACAATTACAGCCTGTTTATCTTTTTGTTTTGCTCTATGAATCACACAAATTTCAAGTAACATTAATTTTTGTCTTACATATGAATATACATGTGCAATCAAAAGGGTACCTTGTCCCACCACTCTTCAAAATTCATAAACTTAAATATCAAAAGTTTAAAAAAGGAATATTCATCATTGGAATCTAGAGCCAGACTATTGGTAGTAATGCAGGAAGAAGTGTGGATTTCTGTACTGACTAGATTGGAATTCTTCACATAAAACTTACACAAGCTAACAACCATGTATATAATAAGTTCTCACTCTACTAACCATCAGCCCAAACTGTAAACTGCTGGGTGGCTGAGAAAATGGAAGGAAAGAAAAGGAAATGACTCAAAGTAGTCGTGCTTAAGGCATGAGTCCTCTTCACTTACAGTCGGCAGTTTAGAGTTGAACTATCATGAGTTGTGGGAAATAAGAGCACACGCAAAGTACACAGGAAAGGACTGTACTCACAGGACTTGTTTCATGTTATTGTTTGGAGTTGTGTTTTTTTAATGTTGCTCTCATCACAGTAAGATATGTAACTAGGACATTTAAAACATTTGGGAAAGTAAAAAAATCTAGTCCCAAATTCATAAATGGGGTGGCTCCAAGCTTATTCTTCATGTTGATAATCTTATCAAAAATACCTAAAATAGAATCAGTATAATATCTATGTGATCTTAATATTTAACTCATTTGAGAGTTAAGGCCTGGGAGAGCTGGCAGTACTGAAGAACTTTACACATCAATTATCTACCTACAAATGACCAAAGTCAGAACATCGGTTTGATAATAAGTTTCAACTTGAGTGTCAAACCCCGTCCTGGGCACATGGAGAAGAGACTGGGGCTGAAATGGGTTCTCATCAATTTTCTTTTTGTAAGAACTCAAAACCAGCATTTTTTTAAATGCTGAGATTTTAAACCACCATTCGTGAGTGGGACTAAACCAGCCATTCAGTTGCCAGGGTCCGTGCACTTCTACATGTCCTAGTGTCCCACGGCTTCAAGGACTACCGGTCTCTATCCTGGGGGTGAGGGGAACATCCTCTGCGGAGGGCGCGGCGCGCGCCGACAGCCCACCGGGCGGGGTCTCTTCACCCAGCCCACCCGCGCCTCCACCTGCCAAGGCCCAGACCGCGGCCAGACTCTCCTGGAGGGCGCCCACGCTGACCAACGGCCTAGCGCTGCGAGTGTCAACGCCGGACACCTTCTGCGAACAAAAAGCGCCCCCATCAGCCCGACCCCTGCCCCCGGGGCCAGCTCCGAGACCCTGGCCCGCCCCTC